GGAACAGAAAGCCCACAGGGATTATTGCTAAATCTGTCTTTGTTTGTTATAATTCTTTCTCCTTCACAGCTTTTGAAAAGTAATTTTTTAAAAACCCCACTATATCCTTCCCCCAGATCCCCCAGAATTAGGCAACAGTGGCTGGCCTATTGAGTTAAATTGCCCAATTATAAATTAAATATGCTTTGCTATATTTCTTCTAATGACTGTTTTTATAATACATTGTTTATGACTTCAAAGATGCTAACAGTAAAATGATGTACAACCTTATGATTTAAAGAAATTAATCAAAAACCCTCATGTTCTCATGTTCATGTCTTGTTAGAAACCTTACAGATTCCCAGTTTAAGGACATTTGGCTTGAGGAATCTGTAGGACAAAGGATGGAGTGTTCCAGGACACAACTTGTTGTCACTGTAATAGCTTCTTCAGTTAAATCACTTTTTTTAAAAATTGAGGGGCTCTCTTTTTTAAAAATAGAGGGGCTCTTCCCAGCAGTACTGGAGATGAGGGGTGGTCTGCAATGTTAAGGATCAAATGTTAAGCCCGCCACTGTGCTCCACCATCTGAACACCCCCATGGCCCCTCAAACTACTTTTAAAACCCACTGAAAAGAGGGAAAGAATGTTTATCACAGACAGAATAAAACACTTGAAAGTTGACAGATAAAATATTCTTAAATGAAATGTTTATGATGGCTTTAAATGGTCAGCTGTATACAGAAATAGCAAGAAAGCATATTTTTACATCATGGCACCAGTAAACAATGTGCCAATAAAAAGCTCAAGCAGAGTGAAAGTACTGAACAGAAGGCTAAGGCTCTTCCCTGGCATGCTTCTCTTCATGTTCAATCCCTGGCAAAACATATGGTTCTCCCCCATACTCCAAGAGCCACCACAGGTGATCTCCAAGCAAAGAGCCAAGAGCTGCCCAGTATAGCTCAAAACAAAAATACAAAAAAAAAAGAAAAAACAAAAAACAAAAAAAAAAACACTAGAGCAGAGTTTCTCACAAGTGATTTTTTATGACCCTTTTAAAGCAAAAAATTCTTTCTAGACCTCCCCTAGGGCTGAAATCATTCATTGTACTGTTTAAACATTTTAAAACATAAACCAGATCTAACTCTTTTTTCTTATATTTATTATAAACTCCAAAACAAATAAAATTTAAGGGGCCAGAGCAATAGTACAGCAGGTAAAGAGCCTGCCTTGCTTGCAGCAGACCCCATATTCAATCCTAAGCATCACATATAGTCCACTGAGCAATACCAGGAGTTATTACTGAGTACAGAGTCAGGAGTAACCTCTGCCTTGCACGCAGCCAACATGGCCGACCCGAGTTCGATTCCTCCGCCCCTCTCGGAGAGCCCGGCAAGCTACCGAGAGTATTCGATATGCCAGACACAGTAACAACAAAGCCTCCAATGGAGACGTTACTGGGCCTGCTCGAGCAAATCGATGATCAACGAGAGGGCCTTTACTTTACTTTACTTTTTATCACCAGATTAGACTCCAAAACCAAATAAATAAATAAAACTTCAAAAATTTACAAATTAAATATAAAACTATAAATGAAAGTAATTTAGATTAACAACATTAATTTATTGTTGTGGAAGATGTGTTCGGTTAAAACTAAATCACCGTTGTTGAGTTTCAAAGTGGAAAAATGTAGTTTAAGTTTCAGTTTTATGCTTAATCTATTTCTATACTTTGATTACTACAAAAAATAGTTCATGGATGTACATTCATTATAAATGAAACTATTTTTTTTAATTTTATTAGTGAAGCACCATGAGGTACAGTTGTAGATTTACAAATCTTTGTGCTTGGGTTTCGGTCATACAATGATCAAATACCCATCCCTCCACCAGTGCCCATTTTCCACCACCATGGATAATATCCCCCCCCACCCCCCCTCCCACCCTGCCTCTGTGGCAGGGCAATCCCCTGTGTTCTCTCTCTCCTTTTGGGTGTTGTGGTCTGCAAAAGAGGCATTGAGTGGCAAACATGTTCAGTCCATAGTCTACTTTCAACATGCATTTCCCCTCCTGGGAGGATCCTCCAAACACCCTTTATTTGGTGCTCCCTTCTCTATCTGAACTGCCCTTTCCCCTAGAATACCCAGCTGGCCTCTAAGCTATGGAGTAATCCTCCTGGTGTTGATCTCAGCTATTCTTGGGTATTAATCTCATATTTTGTTGCTTTATATCCCCCAGATGAATGCAGTCTTTCTATGTCTATCCCTCTCTTTCTGACTCATTTCGCTTAGCATGATACTTATAACTGAAACTTTTTTGCTACCAAATGGTAGAAATACTGGAGTATACTTGTTTTGTTTCTTTCGGGGCCATACCAGTTGTGCTCAGGACTTATTTGTGGCTCTGTAGTGGAAATCAGTCCTGATAGGACTCAGGAAATCATATGGGGTGCTGGGGGATTGAACTCAGGTTGATCTGTGCTAGACAAGTACCCTACCTACTTGTGTCATTGCTTCAGCTCCCATTTTGTTTTTGTTTTTGTTTTTCTCATATTTTACACCTTTGATATCATGACAGAGAAGATGACAGATGAGAACTGAGAGTCTCTGAAATAAGGTCATTTACAAATATCTGACCTTAAGAGTTAGTGTTTTCTTTACACCACAGAGACTGGCCTATATCCACAAGAACAAAAGCAACCGTTGCTGACGCAGATGTTGCAAGAAAGGGACCCTCCTTCACTGCTGATGGGAATGCTGACTGGTTCAGCCCTTTTGGAAAACAGTAGGGACGATTCTCAAAAAATTAGAAATTGAGCTCCCATTTGATCCAGCAATACCACTCCTGGGAATATATCCCAGAGAGGCAAAAAAGTATAGTCAAAGTGACATCTGCAATTGTCTGTTTATTGCAGCACTCTTTACAATAGCCAGAATCTGGAAAAAACCTGAGTGCCCGAGAACAGATGACTGGTTAAAGAAACTTTGGTACATTTACACAATGGAGTACTATGTAGCTGTTAGAAAAGACGAAGTCATGAAATACAAGTGGTACTACATGGAAAGTATCATGTTAAGCGAAATGACTCAGAAAGAAAGAGATTGACATAGAAAGATTGCATTCATCTGGGGAACATAAAGTAACAAAATAGGAAACTAACATCCAAGAACAGCAGAGATTAGTACCAGGAACTTTACTCCATGACTTGGAGTAAATCACACATACTAGGAGTAAACCACACATACTAGGGGAAAAGGGAGCTCAGATAAAGAGGAGAACAGCAAGTAAGGGTGTTGGGAGGATCCTCCCAGGATGGGAGAAGCATGCTGAAAGTGGACTATAGACCCAACATGATTGCCACTCAATGTTTCTTTTGCAGGCCACAACACCCAAAAGGAGAGAGAGAGAACAGAGGGGAATGTCCTGCCACAAAGGCAGGGTGGGATGGGGGGGGATGGGGGGTGGGAGGGATACTGGGATCCGTGGTGGTGGGAAATGGGCACTGGTGGAGGGATGGGTATTTGATCATTGTATAATTGAAACCCAAGCACAAAAATGTGTAAGTCTGCAACTGTACCACATGATGTCTCACTATTAAAAAATTTAAAAAAAAAAAAGAGTGTGCTACCAGTGAGCAATCCTTAATGCCAAAATACTACTTGAAAACTGTATTTATTTCAACATGAAATTAGCATGACAGTACAAATGAAGTGAGAACTTTAACATATATTTAATCAAAATATTGTGCCAAAAACTGGAACAAGACATATGTATATGAAATTACTTTTAAAAATGTTTCTAATTTTAAAAAACTAGTTTTTCCACTTCAATCCTGAGCTCATATACTTCTGGAGATAAAGAAGGAACTAAAGAGTTATTTTATTTATCTCCTTGGAACACCGTCTGTCCAATATTCCAACCATTATTGGCAAAGAGAGAAAAAGAATTAATGAAGAAATAAGGAAAATTTATTTTTAAATAAATTTTTTAAAAAATTTATATAAAGAAAATTTGTATAAAGAAAATTTCCCTTCCACCTCCAAAACAAGGCAAACAGGTTCAGACAGAAAAACAAGTTTGACATAGGTTATCACAGGCCATATTGTTTTCCAGAGAGGCCCAGAACTATGGTTGAATTAAGAATTGAGCTTGAGAAAGCAGAATTTCACACAGTTAGTGGTTCCTAAAGTTGATCAAAATTGATCATAAATCAAATTTTGTTAATATCGTTTCCATTCTGCTTCAATTTAGAACATTCCAATTACCACAAAATTGTTATTTGTATAGAATGACCTGAAAGCATTTGGTTTTCACTTGGCACAAACACATCATTCATATTATTCAGACTCCTTCTGTTGATTTCTCATTAGCCACTACAAAATAGCACATTACTCAGGTCATTTTCATGATGTGCCATCAAACTACTTACTGTAGGGCCGAACTGGTGGTGTTTTGCATGTGAGAGTCCCTGGGTTTGAGCACCTGTTGACTCTCCAAGCATCACAGGAAGTGGCCCCTACAACAACAAATGGGGGGAAAAAAATCCAAAACCAGAACCAAACTCTTGTACCCAAAGGGATAGCTTCAGTGGTTAGAAGCTTCCCTTCCAAACTTAAGATCTCAAATCCAATCCTCAGCCCTCCATTATGCATTGAGTTTGCTCTTGACAGCTCTGGTGTCAGTGAGAAGCAATTTCCCATTTCTCCCCAGGTAGGTAGAGTGAACACCAAAACAAAAGGGATGTGGTCAAACTTAGGACTCTCAAAATCAAAATCCAGCTGCTGCTTTATTCTGTGATTTACTCTAACTTAACCCTAAAACTTTCCAAATAGAGTGTTAACCAGAAAGGTCTTTTTAAATTATTTGAAATTCTTGAGTAATCAATAGGAAACAAAAAAGAATTAAATCTAGGTATTATGTTCTGAATTACAAAAGGAAAAAAATCAGTCTCAGACAAGTTCACTTCCAATTGCCAAACTGCTTCTGAGTTACTCTTTTTAAACTTTTTTCCCTGCTTATTCTTTAGGAGACAGTATATATCAGTCCCCCACTACCACAAATTCTGCAGCCTAGTTTCCCACATTTAGGGAAATCACAGGGATCATAACATCCAGAGTGTAATGGATAGGCCTTGTCCTGAGAAAACAATCTTTGTGATTATTGTATCTCCCCCTGCCAGGCAGGTATGAGTTGCCTTTTATAGAAGACTGAAGTTTATTCAAGAAATCAAAATTCATAACAAATAAAAACAAAAGTCATTAAAGATCAATTCAGAAAAACAAAAGAAGAAAATTCATATATATATATAAAAAAAACGGGGGCTGGAGTGATAGCACAGTGAGTAGGGCGTTTGCATTGTATGTGGCCGACCTGGGTTTGATTCCCAGCATTGCATATGGTCCCCTGAGCACTGCCAGGAGTAATTTCTGAGTGCAGAGCCAGGAGTAACCCCTGTGCATCACCGGGTGTGACCCAAAAAGCAAAATAATAATAATAATAATATAATGATAATAATAAAATTAACCAAGCCAGGATCCCAGTGCCTATCTTATTCTCCATTAAAACAACTGACTAAAAAAACAAAAACCAAAAAACTGACTCAGTGTTAGAGGAATACTTCAATGGAATGAGTGAAACAAAGCACCACTTGGTCCCCCAATTACCACTGGGTAAGCACCGCCCAGTGTGGTCTAAAAAACAAATAAGAAAGAAAGAAAGAAAGAAAGAAAGAAAGAAAGAAAGAAAGAAAGAAAGAAAGATATTCTCCGACCCATTTTCACTCCTCTGTATTTGTCCAGGAGATACTAAGAGACATATTCACAAAGATTCATAGAAAGAATTCAAAGAAAGTTCACAACTCTTTCATTAATAATAGTCTTAAACTGCAACAATACAAATGTCAAACAGGAAAATGAATATGCTATTATATACTAATATGATTGAATACTACTCAACAATAAAAAGAAACACTGCTGATGTGCTTAACAACCTGGATAAATGGCACAGGCACAAAAGAAGCCAAACAAGAAAGACTACCTCCTGCATGAATTCATTTAAACAAAGTTCAAAAGTAAGAAAAATGAATGTAGTGGTTACAAGAGTAAGAATAGCAGTTGCTTAGGGAGAAAAGGGGAAAATGACAATTATCTAGAAATGGATATAGGGAATTTTCTGGAATGACATAAAGTTGTATATCCTGGCCCGAATATGGACTACATGGGTTTATCCATTTTCCAAGAGAAACCATAAATTTATAACATGTGTATCTTTTGTTTTGTTTTGTTTTCTGAACACATTCAGTGGTGTCAGGGCTTACTCCTAGCTCTGTGCCCAGAGATCACTCCTGACAGAGCTTTGGGGATCTATGGGCTACCAGGGATTGAACCTAGGTCTGTGCAGGGTAAGCACCTTATCCTACTTTACTATCTCTCTATCCCGTATCTATCTGCAATAAAAATATGCTTAAGTAAAAAGAAGAAAGTATCACTAAAAAAAGAACTTCTGCTAGGTCTGGAGATTTAATTCATTATTATGGAATGAATCATATCATCTTCCATGAATCTGCCAATAGACTTTTAACTTTAATTTTGACCCCACGCATAACATATGGTCTTCTAAACACTTCTAGTAGTGATTCTTGAACACAAAGCTAGAAGTTAGTACTGAACACTGCAGGATATGGACAAAAAAACCAAAGAAATGATTGCTTAAATCTAATGCTGAAAGTTTCCTCTTTCTAACCAATGTACATGATTTTCAGTTTATTGTCTTTTTGATGGGGGTGGGTGGGTGAGGAGGTTGGACCACACTCAGCCATGCTCACGGTTTACTCCTTACTCCTGGCTCTGCACTCAGGAATTACTCCTGGCAGTGTTTAGGAACCATAAAGGATGGCAGGGATTGAACTCTGGGTAGGTCACATGCAAGCAAGTTCCCTACCTGCTGTACTATGTCTTCAGCCCCCTAGTTTATTCTTTATATTTCTTCATTAAACATAGATTGAGCCCTTCTAATAGTAAGGCAAGGTACTTAGTGAAGCTGATAGACAATGGCATCAATCTAGTTGAGAATATAAATTCTCCTGAACTGGTGCACTGAATATATATTTTCCAATTTATATAAATTCCTTTATTTAACAAATATTTCTTGAGGCCTTGATATGTACAAGGAAATGCTCTAGTACCCAGTGGTGTGGTACTAACATGAATATTACTCTCTGCTGAGAGTTTCCTTGGCATTTAGAAGAGACAATGAAAAAGAAAGCAAATATATACAAAGGTAATTGAAGGTGGTGATGAATGCAATGAAGAAAATGAAATATTTGATTATGCTTACTCATTTCTAGAAAGGGTACGTGAGTCACGTGTTTGCATGTCAAATTATATGTCACATTTAGTTCCATATGAGCTAAGTACAATTAAAACACAATTTCAAAACACAAGAGCATGAAGTCCTACTCCACTGGTATGCTTTTATATACATTTTATTTTCTCATACCTCTTTTTATTTTGAGGGAGGATGTGGACTCACACCCAGTGTTGTATAGGGCTCACTCCTGGCTCTGTGATTAGGGATAATTCCTGGTAGTGCCACAGGTTAGAGATGAAACTGGGATGAGCCACATGTAAAACAGATACCTTAACTCCTATACTGTCTCTCCAGCCCTCTCATACCTCTTTTAACAAGAACAGACTGATGACTGATCACCACAGAAACAGATCACTACACAGAAATTAAGAATGTATGGACTGGGGCCCGAGCAATAACACAGCGGGTAGGATGTTTGCCTAGCACACGGCCAATGCGGGTTCGATCCCTGACATCCTATATGATTCCCCACGCACCGCCAGCAGTTAATTCCTGAGTACAAAGCCAGGAATAACCCCTGAACATCCCACCCAAATCTTTAGGTGGGACCCAAAAAGCAAAAAAAAAAAAATGTATGGACTGTGCTTTTGTTTCATTTATTTAGGGGAACGGGCAAAATACTTGGCAGTACTCAGAGGGCCACTTGTGGTGCCAAGATTCAAACCACTGTCACAGTTATATGCAAGGCAAGTGCTTTAACTTCTGTACTACTTCACCAGGCCTCGACTAAGTTTTTAAAGAAAGCATACCACATTGTTAAAATTCACTATATCCTCAGTTTCACTGGAACTTTTATTTTTACCTTAAGACTTGAATAATCAAGCATTTTCACTATAAAGTGACTAGGATTAAAAATAATTGGTATGACATTACCAGTGACTATTAGACTTCATACCAATCTTTCTTTCATCATGTCATACATTAGAGAGTAAGATTTCAATCTCCGAAAGTCTATTAGGATTAATATGTTGGAAATGTGTAATTTTGCTGTGTTTTGGGGCTTTAGGCCAAAGCCCAGGGCTTACTCCTAGCTCTATAGCTCTGGGATCACTCCTAGCTGTATATGGGTATAGAATCTGGATCAGCCACATGCAAAGCAGGAGCCTTACTCACTGTACTCTTGCTCTGGTCCTGTATTTTACACCATATATAAACTACATATGGGTTTTACTTCTTATAACTGATTGCTAGCAGGGTTCTGGAACTCAGTCATGGCTATATGGTTAGATTGTAGGATAGTTAATTTCTACCTAAATCTATTAAGTGCTTTTCTGTACATGTGCCATATTTCAAATACAGTCCTCCCATTGTTTATCAGTTTGCTCAAGCGGGCACCAGTAACGTCTCACAACAAATTGTGAGACTTGCTGTTACTGTTTTTGGCATATAGAATACGTCACAGGGAGCTTGCCAGGCTTTGCCATGCGGGCGAGATACACTCAGTAGCTTGCCGGGCTCTCCGAGATTTCAAATACAAATACAAAAAAAGTTTAAAAACAAGATTGTGTGTGTGTCTCAAACACACAAACAAAAAAGAATACCTTCTTGCACTTAGAGAGCTTTGTGTTTCTCAAACTACTTTTAGACAGGTAATACATTGAGAATCAAATTGGACTTATATTTGATCCAAAGATACTAAAAGATTTGTCTAAGGTTACATTATTAATACTTAGCTGTTTTAAATTGTTTAGTGTTCTTTCACGTCTCTGAATTTTCTTCCAAACTGGGATCTACATTTTACACCACGTTAATACTGTGCTTCAGACGGATGCTGCTCGTAGAGGTTTTTGTTTTAATTGACTTACAAGCAAAAGACTGAAGACAAAACTGAGAGCTTGTGTAAAGTGGGACATAAAAATAAGATTTTTGCAAAGTCAGAACTCTGAAAGGTCTCATAACAATGGAAAGAAGACCTTGGGGCAAACCCCACAAGTAGAAGGTGACCAGTAATACTGCTATCAGTCTTTTTGAGATTGGGGGAGGCAGCTGGGGGTATTTGGGGGCATGGTGATTCAGGGAATGTTCCTGGTAGTGCTTAGGGGACAATATGTAGTGCCAGGCATCAAACTCTACAAGGAAACACCTTAAGCCCTGAACTCTCAGCCTTATTTCCTCTGACTTAGTAATCTTTGATTCTCAGCCTCATTTCTGCATAGTGGGGAAAAAATGTCATTTTGAGATTTCCTAATCATAAATTCATCTTCATCTGGGTAATAGGCCGGAATTCATATTAGATAAAATGAAATTTTAAAATGAAATGAAATAAAAATAAAATGAAAAAAATAATTCATACTATAGTGACTATATTTTAAAAATAAAGTATTCGTCCAGAGACAGAGAGATAGGGCACTTGCCTTGCACACGGATAAACTGGGTTCAATCTCTGACACCGCCTGTGCCCCCCTGAGCCCTGCCAGAAGTGATCCCTGAGCAAAGAAATCAGGTGTAAGCCCCAAGTACAATTGAGTGTGGTCCCAAAATAAACAAAAAACAGATGGAAAATTTGTCTTCTTGAGCATTCATGTTTGAGCTGGAAAATTGGACTTCTGCTCTTGTACTGGCATTTACACCCTTGGCTCTTCCAGTTTATGGGCAAACACCTAGACTAGAATCATACCACTGACTTTCACAGATAGCAGACTGTGGGGCTTCTCAGCCTCCACAGTCCTATGTGCCAAATGTGTATAATAAATCTCTTCTAGCAATCCAGAATGCCTGTGTCTCTAGGAAATATAGCTATAGATACGTAAAGATTTTAAGGTACTTAGATGATAGGTAGATAGTGAAGGAGGTATAGCTTATCTACTGTTTCTTTGGAG